AGTGCGTACGCCTCCTCAGAGTTCTCCGGCATAAGGTTGGCCAGCAGCGACATCTCAACAGGCTCAATGTTGTGGTCGCCCATGCGCCTGGACGCGGGCGCACGCGCGCGCGCGCGCGTGTGTGTGTGTGTGTGTGTGTGTGTGTGTGCATGAGTGAGTGTGTGTGTCTCTGTGTGTGTGTGTGTGTTGTGTGTGTCTGTGTGTCTGTGTCTGTGCCCCGAGGGTGTTTCACAACATGCAAAGGGCTCTTCGAGGGTTTGAGGGTTCCACTTTGGCTCTGGCATCTTTCGGCTCCCAGGGCAAGGGCAGGGACGGGGCATGCAGCAATAGCGCATTTATCCCAAGCGCGGGCACACGCTGTGGCACGCCGAAAGGTCCGAGAGGCACGCGCGGAGCACATAGCACGGCGGCGGTGCGGACGCTGCCGTGCTTGCTGCGCCGGGGGCGCCGGCTGTGTGCGAGGCAGCAGCACAGCTGCCCGGCGGCCCATGGCCAGGCCAGCCGGGGGCTCACTCGCGGATGGCTGTCGCCGCCTCCTCGTTCTTGCCGGCGCCCCCAGAGACCTGCTCCAGGTAGGCCTGTGTCTTGATGACCATGGGGGGAGGGCAGAACCCCGGGGTGGTCTGGACGTTGGTGGTGCGGTACCTGCGGGAGTGAAGGCGAAGGGGCAGGGGCGGGAGAGGTTGGTGAGGGGAACGGCACCGTTTGGGAGGACATGGCACGGCAGCGGCATCGACAGCCAAAAGGGGGTGGCGCGAGAAGGCCAGAGGGTGGGGGACGAGGGGAGGCGACACCGTGCCGCGCCCGCCGTGGCGCGATGATTCCGCCGCGCCCGCGGCCCCGCGGCGCCGTGCCGGGCGGGTTGGGGGCCGCGGCCCTGGAGGCAGGGAAGGAGCAGAGGGGGCCAGGGCTGCCGCAGGCCGCCTTACTTGTCAAGGAGGATGGCCACTTCTTGGTTGGTCAGCGCCTGCGCATCCTTGACGCCAGAGATGGTGGCTGCGCGCGGGTGTGCCGGCAGGGGACGCAAGGCGCCGCGCAGTTGAGCTGCCATCTTTGTTTGGTGGGGTGGGAACGTGCTGCCCAAGCTGCTTCTCATCCGGCTGCACCGCGCCGCAGGGGGCCGGCAGCCGCTCACCTTCCTTAAGGAACTCGTCCACCTCCTCGCCCACACCATCGCGCGCCTGATCCATCGCCGCGCCGCTCCCGCCGCGGGGGCCCCGCTGCGCGGGGCGAGCGCTTTGCTGCTGGCGTGCCTTGGTGCTGCGCGAGCTGCTTCGCACGGGCGTGCCCTGCAGCCACGGTTTTTTAATGCCCTGGGTCCAAGCAGATGTTATAAAAGTGATTGTGGTTCCTTGAATTAAGAATATTTCGACCAGGCACTGATCTGATGTGTGCAATATTGGCCTGTGAGCTTCGCAGCAGAAAGAGTTGGTGTACCCCCGGATGAACTATTGCAGTTTCCCATTTAACTTAAAGAATCATTTGCGCCACCACACAACGTGTATCTTGCTAGATCACCGCCCACACCCAGTCAGCCTCCCTCATTACGGCGCCCCGTCCTTGCGCGGCACCGTACATTGTCTCAACATGTCATGAAGGCGGCCCCATTGTGGGTCCTCGACGGACCTGAGAGACTCTGATGGCTGCCATGCAGCGAGCAAGCAGATTGGTTCCGGCGGCATCTGCAGCCGCCGCTCAGCAGCATTCATTGCCAAGCCCCTGACCTGCTTTGGAACAGATGCCCACACACACAGCAAAGGCGTTACATGTAAGGTGAGGCAGCCAGCCACGCGCCAGGAAGGAGCGTTTGCGCAGGCGCTTGGCGATGCGTGCTGTGTGCGGTGGAACAGCATGGTTGTGTGCGCGCTGCACGGTGGCCCGTGATGAGAACCGCTGTACACACATTCCATGACCCAAAATGAGCCCCTCGGGGCCATGAGCAACCAACAGTAGGTGAGTACTGAGGCCACCATCATCTGTGAGCTTTGCTGCACGCAAACCCATATGCACACCCGCGACATGGCAAGCCCGCGTGGCGACGCCTTCCACAATCAAATTCTGCACCGCTCACCCCGACCCCACACCCCACTTGGCCCGCTTCTACCCCTGTCATGCATGTACACAACTGGCGGATTTGGTAGGGGCTCACCACAACTGCGGTGGACCGTGCCTCACAACACAGGGCTGCAGGCTTGTCCCCGCGCCGTGCGTTCTGCTGAACAGTATTGCCCAGCTTCCTTGTTTGCCCTGATCAATGGCGTCACACGCGTTTTTCCAGGCTCCGCCCACCATTTTCGGGCAATGCTCTTTTACCAGCCGCACAGGCTGGCCTCGTGCGTGTCGTTTGCGCGCTCAGGCGCCATGTTTCCTGCATGCTGTCATGTCGCAGCTCTCCAGGGTGTAATTCATAAAACACGTCTGGAACATCTTCTCGTGAATTTCTTATCATCGTTGTTGAGGGTTGCTGCTCTGAGTGCACAGTCATGGCGGCCAGGCAGCGGCGCGGGCCATAGAAGTGCGGAGTGTGGCGCCATCAGCATGCCATCGACGGAAGGGACAGCGAAAGCAAGCCCGGCAAGCCGCGTCGAAAATGGATCGGCAGCAAAATAGGTCGATCAGAAGAAAAAAAACCCACGAAAGAAAGTGACCTCCGGCGCTCACGGCGGCGGGGGCCGCTCCGGGTGGGTGGCGGTCGCTGGCGTGCCGCAACACGCATGCGCGGCGCCTGCACAGGCCGCCGACACCCAGCCGAAAGCCGCGACAGCGTCTGAGAAACGTTTTTAGCTCGCTGGTCGTGGTGAGGAGGGTGGCCCAACGCGGTAGCACTGAAACACACATCCTGCGTGCATGCTTGGGTGTCAAAGCACATATAGGACAGCCGGGGCTGACCCACAAAGCGCCCGGCGCCCGGCTGGGTCACGGCGCGGTGGCCAAGTAGTTGTCCAGGTCAGCCTTGAAGGCGCTGAGCCGCCCCTCTGTCGTCACGCTGACATCACCGGCCTTGATCGTCACCAGCAGCTTGGCCTCGAACGCGGTGGCGTGCGCGTTGGGGTTGCAGAACACCTACGGTCGAAAGAGTGCGCGGCACTCAGTATTAAACCGCACGGCAACCAGGCGCGCGTCCATGTGGCGGTGGCGCCGGGGACCCTCGGCAGCTGCGTGCTGGACGCCTTGGAACATTAGTGCCCCGTACATCCGTTAAGGTCCTGCCCAGGCCATGCGCGCGTGCCCTGGATGGTTCTGGTGAGGGGCCCTGTGTGATTGGCAGTGGGGCGCACCTCCAGGAGGTCTATGCCGCCGGCAGCTGCTGGGTCGCCCTTGAAGCGCACCTCCATCATTTCCCACCTGAAACAGAGGTTTTGATATGGGGTGTGCGTGTGTGTGTGTGTGTGTTGGGGGGAGTGGGGTGGGGAGAACCGAGAAGACAGGGAGGCAGGGGTGTGCATGAGGGAGCTGGAGGGAGGAAGGCGCGCCAGGAGGCAAACCCCGCCCCACCGCCCCTGGCCGGGTGTTGAGACGTTGCGCACAGCGCACCTCCGGGGCCGCTCTGCCTTCTGTTTTTCTGCGAACTGCGGCATTTATGGGCAACGGGGCAGCAACCTCAAGATGCATGGAGGGGCAGGCCTGGGCGCTCACAAGCGCGTCACGAAGGCAGGGAGGCCCTCCTTGCCTGTGTCTGGCACTCGGGACTTTCCACTCTGCGCGGCCGTCCTGCTGGCCGGCTCGACCAATCGGCTGCGGCGCACGCACCGTTGTCAGCAGCTGCTTGATGGCGGAATCCAGCTGGTCGGCCTGAGCGCGGCTGAAGGGGACGCCAATGGTGGTCTCTCCCACATGCAGCATCAGCTTTGCGGCCCCTGCAGGCAACATCAATGTGTGCAAGCGGGCTGCTGACATGGCAGTTGCTGGTCGATTCAAATTCAAGGCCTGTTGGCATGCATGGGGAGCCCGCCGCTGCCTCGCTTCGGGATGTGGATCCTTGAAAGCGGCAAAGGCAAGGTGCCCTTTTTGCGACGCACAAGCAAAGCGCCACTGGCCGTCCTCTGCTTGCGCTGCCGATACACCAGACCCGATGCCACATGGCGGAAGGGAACAAATCAAAATTCTTCCCGTTGTCCTACCTGCCACTGCACGAGCGACCGCGCTACCACTTCTGACAGCTGCATATCGACGCAACGGCATGCATGGCCGGATGCCCCGGTTCAGCTGGCCATTTCTGAATGTGATATTACTGCAGCTCTGCATATCGGTTGTCGTGCGCGAGCTCGGCGTGTTTGAGATCTGGGGGAGATCTTGCGTTGATCGCACCAGGAATGTACGTGCGACCTAGATTCTAGACACTGCAGTATAGAATGTGTATCAACAGTTTGCTACCTTCGACCACACTGCTATTTGCCACACTTGCTGTGATTGGTGTCCAAGGCGTGCGTCCCAGGTGACACCCCACGGTGGCGACCAGCCCCTGCAAATTCGACCCGTGTCTTGCGATGTAGTCAACAAGTTCTCGTAGATGCGTGCGATCGACTCGCTGCCATGCCCAGATGCTTCGTGATACGAGTCCCGGTGGAACGGGTACGGGCAGGGCAACCCCATCCAGTTGCTTTGAGCACTTTGCTGCCTGCCGCACTCTTACCAATTCACGCCCCCTATGAGAGGGTGACGGCCGACTACAACTCAAAAAGTTGAGGTACACTTCTACCATACGTACGCAGATGTGGATACCCGCACACGCCACATCGTTCACGCACTTTGCCAGCTCGCCACACGATGATTTTGGCCTCAGCAACACCGGCTCAGGACACGTCGTTTTGCCCCGGATGGCCTGCCGCCTACCACGCAGGTGTTTCAGTGTGTCAAGGGGTATCGGTGGAGCGGGTGCGAGCGGGGAGACCCAAATCGCTTTGAGCACAGTGCTGCTTGCCACATCATGTGCGGTGTCTGCAGTGGTGACCACTCTAGGCGCCCCACGGTGATCGAGCGCTCGTCAGCGCATGCATGCTACGGCGGAGTTTAAATATACTTATATCATATGTATGCAGATGCATCTCATGCGTATGGCTTTGCCAAAAGGTACCTGGCGTCCAGTTTCCACACAGGCTGAGGACGCCTGGTATGACAAAGCCCAGGCACGTGAGCTCACCTGTGATGGACCCTGCAAACGTCACCCGGTACAGTGTTTCACGATACCAGCAATAAGTACTAGTAGCTGCTCAAGTAAACAACTCCATCTCATGCTCATGGGCTTGCAGTAACAAGACCTGGCTTCCTGGATGACAAAGCAAATGAGCTCACCTGAGACACGCCCCTCACTGTTCTTACGTCACTCCCATTTTGAAGTGTGCCTGCACTTCCCACTGGCTGGCCGAGCCATCAGGCAAGTGTGGGGCAAAAAAATGTTTTTGTTCATTTTGGAAACATGGTCTGGATTGTGCATCCTCAATTGTGCGCTGGCCCCCACGTCACTGAGGGTCAGCATCTGTCATGTGTTGGTCAGGCCAGGACAAGAATGCAAGGGTGAAGGCACTGTCCTCCGAGCAGCTCGACCTGACAGCAAAATCCTTCACCAGGATTGGTAAATTGGTAGCTTTCTGTGGAAAGTCAGCCAGCGTGACAGCCGGCGTCCTGGCCCACAAGGATGACATGATCAAACAAGGCCGGCTTGTGCAACATGGCGCTGAGCCATGCAGGCGTGCGCCTCTCTTCAATCAACCAATACCTTCAGCTTACATGCAACTAGGGTGCATGCCGGGGGCCATGCGCACGCTGAGGACCGCCGCGCACTAATACGTCCAACAAGTGAACAGGACCAGTCACTTGCCCATCATGCAGAACGTTCCAACAAGTGCGTACCCTTAGCGTCGCATGACACCTGTTTTTAGCTTGCGACACAGTCAATTCGTAGCACGCAACACCGCCCTCATCACCAGTTCTTCTGCGCTGGGCTGTGCCCAATTCCCGGACGGCCACCACAGGCCCACAGCGCGCCCGGACAACTGCATCGCAAAGAGGCTGCAGCGTGCAGGCTTCGACGAGGGCGGAGGGCACTTCATGTGCAACGGTGAGCAGCCCGTTGCCCCCACTTGGCCGTGCCTGCACCACCATCGTAGCGCCCTCGTGGACTTCCCACACGCATGTATGAAAACGTTTCGTCTCGCGGGGACCACGGTGAGGTGCACGACGGGGCCTGTCCGCGTCAAGTCACCCGCGCCCACCTCGCATCGGGCGCGGGCGCCCACGACCAGGACCCCGCTCCGCCGCGCTCGACCCCCCACCTTGCAGGCCGCGGCCGCCCCGACGTAAGCGCGCGCGCGGGCGGCCCCCCGCGCGCCCGCCGCGCCGGACGGGCGCCATGCGCGGCGCGGGCACCAAGCACGTGCGCAGCAGGTCGCCGTACTCGGGCCTGACATGGGAGACGCGCCGCGACTGCTGGCGCGTCAGGATCACCGTGCTGGGCAAGCAGCTGTGGGTCGGCAGGTGCGCGCATACACGTAGCCGCCGTAGGGACGGTAGCGGAGACGGCGCGGGCGCGCGCGCCGCCCCGGGCGCGCTTTGGGCTGCGCGGCGGCGTACCGCACGCGCGCGCGTGCCAGGGCGCGCGCACCCGCCCCAGCCGCTCCCAGCGCAGCCGCCGGCGCCGCCAGTCTTCTCTGCGCACGGCCAGGCCGCCTGCCCTCCCCCGCCCCCCAGCGCCGCCC